CCAAGTTGACACACAGCTCCAACTATCACAACTGCTAACCAGAAGGCTGGAGGTTCAAACCCACCAGCCACTCCTCGGAAGGAAGATGGGGCAGTCTACTTCCGTAGTGATACTTCCTCGGAAATCCAAGGAGGGGTTGCTATGAGTTGCGTCTGACTCCTCGGCACATAACAACAACATATGAAAGAAGAAGTGTTAAGTTAAAATGAGAAAGTCATGTAGCCAAGAGGTGAGAATAGTCCCCACTCTAGACATGGTGGGTCTCAGTGAAGATTCAGCTGTGAATTTGATACCCAGAGTTTGAGGGTCAGTAGGGGAGAGGGCCAAACCATAAAGAATTACTTACCAAGTGGGAGGAGTTACAAAAGGGCATATGGGGTACTGTGGAAGCCAGAGCAAGGATATTTAACTAAGAAGGGATTTAGAGAAGATCTCCCAAATGAAGTGACATTAGCCAGGGCTCGAATTGTGTGCAGAAGTCCTCGGGTGAAGGAGGCAGGCTTGAGAGAGGTCCGTGCAGTGCAGACACAATGTCAAGAGCGTGGCAAGGCCAGGAGCCTCACTGAGTTCAGTGTAGTGGAGGAAGGCGGAGTCAGGAGAAAGGGGGATATGATAGGATGACAGCGGGCCAGGTCGGGCTGAAAGGAATTTGGATTTTACCCTTGAAGTGCTCAGAGACTGATTAAAACAGATTGAGGTTGTTTTTTTTTTTCCAAATTGCTCTGCCTGAAACTGTTCTAATGTTACTGATTAAAACAAGAAAGAAAAAAAAAAATCACTCTGGCCATACTGGAAAATAGATCAAATAAGGGATCAGAGTAGCTGCTGGGAGACCAGCAGGAAGGGGACCTTGCAGGAATCCAGGCGAGAGACGGTGATGACGCAGAAAGCAGGAGGGGCCAGCCTTCTGTACTGCGTTTACTCGTGGATTGCTGGTTTGGGGATTTCAAACACAGTACTAATCTAACACTGTAAGTAGTTTTTAGTTTAAAATGTAATTGCATAGTAAAGATTTAGGAAATCATTAAGTCAGTCCTGGGTTAGCCCTGTATGAGAATCACATTGTGAAAAGGCCATGCCTTGTTCTGAGGATGTGCAGAGTCCAGAATGGGAAAACAGACAAATAAACCAAAAAGTCAGGAGGAGGATCCCAAACAGCATTTGGTTTGGTGACAGACCTCCTTCTGTCACTGGGAGCTTCTTGAGGGGCTGGGACTTCATACCTAACATGCGCCTGGCATCCAAGCAGGCCCCTCAGGGAGACCTTGTTGAGTGAGTGAGTGAAGAGATGAATGAGTGAGTGAATGAAAATTACTGGTTCAAAGCAGATGTTCGAGGATTCCTTTTTGGCTTCCGTGGTTTTATAATCTTAGTTTCCTGGTGCCTGCCCATCCCTCATGCTCCTTTCATACACCTTCAGTTGCCCTGGTTACTATAAGGGGAAAGAGAGGGGAGGATGGTCAGATTCCTTTGTACGTATTTCAGAATTAGGCAGATTGGAATTTTGTACTCTTGTCTTGGAGCTTTAAGGAAGGAGCTCTGGTGGCATAGTGCCTAAGGCATTTGACTATTAACCAGAAGATTGGCAGTTCAAATCCACCGGCTACTTGCGGAAGGAAACAGGACAATCTACTTCTGTAGATTTATTGCCTCGGAAACCCAATGAATGTCATTTTGAGTTGGAATTGACTCAGTGGCAGTGGGTTTGGTTTTAGTTTTTTGTCTTGGCAAACTAGTAACCCAGAAAACTTCTATTTAAATGTTGGTCATAAATGCTGTTTGGTTACAATACAGACTTGTGGCTAAACCTAACTTCTTTAATATGCATTTACAATGCTCATTATAAGTGTTTCCAAAATTAAAGTTGGAAAAGGTCACATTCTGAGGAAAGAGAAAGGAACATTTTTTGAGTCCTGTTGTGTTTCACGTGCTGTGCTGACCCATCATTAGTAATAATGATGACATTGAGGACCTATATATTAAGTAACTTGGTGCAAAAGTCTAGCAGTTAATGTCAGGCTCTGAACTTGAACTCAGATCTGTCTGACTTCCGAGCACCTGTTTTGACATAGATCTGTGAGTGAGGCACGATAAATAAATCCCTAGTTGGGATGGTACTACAGCAAAAGTCATTTGGAAACCATACTGTGAACTCCTAGAGGGAAGGAAAGAGAAATAAAGGCTCTTAAAACCTGACCTCTTCTTCCTCCTCCTCTTCTTAGTCTATTAATTTTAGCACTTTTTAATGAGCAAAACAAGAAGTTGCCATATCCCTGAATGTTTAGCATTGAGATTAACAAAAACATCTTTTCTACCCTCATGTTGAGTTGTTCTCAATGTCAGCTGATTTCATAACAATAGAGAGATCAAAATCTTGTATCTCCACCTTTAAAAGAGCTTTTTCACTGAGTTTTTTCCCTCTTTTCTGATGCTATCTGTCTCCTCCATGATGCTGGGACACTATTTAGCCTGTTGGCCCTGGTACTCGGAGTCTCTTTCTCACATTTGTCACAGCTGATGATGGTGTTCCCATCTGCCAGGCATATGGAATTGGTGGTGCTCAGCAAATCTTTGTTCCAGTCCAGGCCCACAGAAGATTTTGGAAGTGTCTTGTAAATTCTCTCTTTCCTGTCTTGTGACCTCATCACACTCGATGGCTCTGCTGTAGCAGCTCTGGAAATCTGCCTTGGATTCTAACTAATGATGTCTCTCTTCCCTCCTCACCCACCTGTGAGCCTCTGGAGGCCAACACCAGGACTCGGGCACCTTTGTCTGCCTCCCGTCTGAGCCCCAATGAGAGCACAGTCCTAGCCAGCAGTCTCTATTGACTTGAGTCATTTCATTGGCTTGAGTCCTGTGCTGCCTTACCATTCCTGATAATTTTATGCGTGAGATGGTACCAAACCAAACCAAACTCACTGCTGTGGAGTCAAATCTGACTCATAGCGACCCCTCCTTGGGTTTCCTAGGTGGTGTAGGTATCACTATGGAAGCAGATTACCCCATCTTCCTTCTGACCTCTCTGTGATATTTTAAAGAAAATTGGATCTCCCGTTATTCTAACTACATTTTATATTAATAAAAATCAGCCATGGTTACCACTTTCAGTGGGTGTTAGGGGTTGGTTATCTAGAGTTTTCACAAATAATCCTAGCCTTGGTAAATAGTCGATTGTCAGTTTCCCAAGTAGTAGTAACACTGGCAGTAATACTGCCTTCCATTTGAAACTAGAGTTAGGAATCAGATAGTTGTCATCTGACTCATGCTGAGACACAACCCTCCAAGGTGGCAGGGTGTCATGAGGAAGGTTGAGATCTCTGCTGCGAGTGGCCTAGATGCTCACAGAGCCCCTTTACCTACAGAAGTACTTGAAGTTTGGGTACTTTATGAAAGTTATACCTTCGAAACATTATCAGACCCCTACCTATACCTCAGGCTTCATGATTGTGAAACCAGTTAGTGTTGAGTAGATTCCAACTCTTGACGACCCCGTGTGTGTCAGGATGTAACTGTGCTCCGTAACATTTGCAAGGGCTGATTTTTCAGAATTGGACTGCCAAGCCTTTATTCAAGGCACCTGTGGATGAATTTAAACCACTAACCTTTCAGTTAGTGAGCTGAGTGCCTGTTTGTGCCCAGAGACTCCTACTGATTGTTTCTCATGTGTTTGTTTTTTTTTTTTTTTTTTAACAAGTTTGGTAAAGAAGGTCTAGTGTTGACTGTTCCAGTGAAAATGGTGCAATGTGGGCACAAAGGTTAGAGCCACCTCAGAAAGAGTCAACGGTGGAAAAAGGGTCTCTTAGGTACCATTGTTGTTTGATCCTGATTCTGAAAGCAGTCCTAGGAAAGTGATGTTGGAAAGTTCTCTCCACCAAGGGGAACCCCATTCAGTCTGTGGTTGGTTCATCCCTCATTCCATCATTCCATCATTTATTTGGGCCTTTTTCAGGTCAGCCGGAACTTTGAGCTGGTTGGACGGGTTAACTTGGATCAGCTGGAACAGATGAAGGAAAAAATGGAGAGCTCCAGCAGTGAGGATGAAGACAAGGAGGAAGAAATGAACAGCAAGGATGAAGACACAGGTTAGTCTCCTCTCTGCCCTCTTTGTCCCAGATGGCAGCCAGAGGCACGTCCATGGTAAGACAGAAGGGAAGCAGGAGGCTGTTGTAGGAACAGCAGAAGGAGTGATCCTTCTTAGTTAAGGAGCAGAACAGACTGACTTAAGAAACACTGCAGAGGCAATGTCTTTGGAAACCATTACCAGTTACAGACACTCTAAGGAAAACAGACATTTTCTCTCTAATTATAGATGTGTGTTGGTTAAAAAATATATATATGGCAGCTAATATATATGTATTTTTTTTAATAAGGAAAACTGGAGTCTGGGGAACCTTCAGAGTAAGGGCAGGCAGACAGCAAGACTGATGAGAATGTAAAGCTGTCGAGGAATGATAATGAACTTCCACTTGAAAGCTTATGTAAAATCTGTGCTGCTGGGGTTACAGAGAGAGTGCAAACACCCTGAGCCCTCTCCATGTCTCTCTCTGCTTGGTCCTCTTCTCAGCACCCTTGCTGCTCTGTTTCTGGTTTATACAAGGGGCAAGAGACTACAGCTGTCCTTCACCTGTGTTTCCAGGGCACGCTGGGAAAGGTTTCATGGCACTCTTGTACTAGTTTTGCAACTTCCTGTGAGTCTGTGATTATTTGAAAATGAAAAGGTGTTTTTTTGTTTTGTTCTGTTTTCTGTTTTACACACGTACTTGATTGTGAACATGCAGGCTTTACAGTTGGTTTTCTATATTGTCCAGCAGGAGATTTTGTAGAAATCCTCAAACTGTGCATATAAGAATACAGAGTGGGATCTATCACCTTAGTTATCTGCAAGTTTAGCAAAAGCATGTAGGTAATATAAGTGTGAAAAATAAACATGGTAGCTATGCCCCCACAATGAGAAGAGTGATACCAGTTGGCTGTGATGGGGCATCATTACATACCAGGCTCTGTGCTGGTGGCATTCATATGACCTTCTTTATGTAATCTGGTATATTGTAAAGGGCTCTATACTTAGCTGGCTTGGGTTTGGCTCCTGGTTCTGCTACTTATTAGCTTTATGACTTTGGGTGAATTATTTTTTCTCTTTGTGCCTTCATCATCCATAAACTAACAATAATACCACCAACTTCATAAGGTTGTGGTAACATGAAATGAGACAAGATGACCTCCCTCAGCTGGTCCTAACTGATAACCCTGCAGTGCAGGTGGTGGTATGTCCTTGAAGAGCTTGTCCACTGGGGCGGTAGATCTAGATCTCCTGGCTCCAAAGCCAAGACCTCTCTTACTCTCCATACCTGTCTCCCAACCCCTGGAGCAGTCAAATGCCCTTCATGAAAGAGCGAAGGTGGATTTGAAGGCCTTTGGGACCTCACTCTTTGATCTCTTTTTGCAAAATGTTTTTGTTTTCCCTGTTCTATTAGTCCCCAGACCTAAAGAAATCTCTTTCCCTTCTAAGCTCTCCCTGTTCCTTCCCTTGGTGCCTTCATGCCCACTCCCCCCACCCCCAGCCATGAGGCCAAGGCAGGGGATGGTGGCTTTGCCAAATGGGGGACTAGTTTGGCCCGTGAACCCCCGACCTAGAGAGACAGCAAGAACTGCCAGGCAAGGTGAGCTTGTGCTTCCAGGCTCCCGTGCCTACTGGTCAACCTGAAACCCAGACAGCTGTAACGTTGTCTGCCTGGAGGTTGCCAGCGCTACCCAGCAACGCTGCTTGTGAAGTTACAACCGTTACTAATCAGGGCCACATTCGTTCGCTTCTTAGAAGGAAAATGGCTGTGATCTGAGAAGCGTAGCTTCCCTTTCTCTTCTTCTTAACCATTTCCCAAGCACCATTTTCTTAGTGATGAATTTTTAACACCTGTGCACCATTACCAGAATTTGCTAGGAGATGATGCTTTTGACAGTGGGTACAGAGCTGCGTTTCCCTTCAGATGCTCTGTGCCCTGCCATTCCTTGTCAGGAAATAAATGGCTCCTCGTTGGACATGAAGACTTTTTCATCTCTAAAGCTGAATACGTGATCTGGAGGTGATAAGCACTGCAGAGGCAAGAACCCCTGGTCCCAGTGACACCTCCAAACCACGTAGAAACTCAGAAGGAGATGGCGGCAATTGAGGTGCCTGGGGCACCAGGCAAACTTCCTTCTCCTGTGGGCTGCCTCCTCTCATCAGCACTGTGGCATCAGACCAGCTCTGTTTGACTGGAAAGAACTGTCTGGTCTCTGACTGCTTCTCACTGGAAAGTGTGGCGTCCACATTCATGGGCCTTAACCACATGGAAAAAAAAGAGTCTTCGGGGTGGGGAGGCAAGGATTCCTCCCTCAGAGGTGGAAATTTACATGAGTAACTTGCCGTAATGTTAATGGGGATTACAAGCCCAAGCCTTCCCTGCCCCCTCGGGATCCTTGAAAGAACAGCCTCCTTTGTCCCATGGCCTCGGAATAGACCTAGAAGCAGTTTTCCCCCATCTAGGTGTGTTCTAGCCAAGAAGAAGGAACGGCACACAGTAGCCTCAGGCTGTTTGTGTCAGACATCATGTCTTCTAGGAGTAAGAGCGGGCTTTGGCGGCGTTCTCAGGTCTGACAGGGAGTGATTTGATGTGTGACAGGTAATGAGTGGCTTCCTCTGAGGAGGAAACTTAGCACGAGCCATTGGAAAGACAAGATGACTGGTTTCATGTTTCCTAAGGGCAGAGGAGCACATGGCCCAGCCGGCCTCCCTCTTTGGCAGTGTAGACTTTGCTCAGGCCTCTCCATTGGAAATACCTGGTTCCCAACATCCATCCTAAACCGGGGAGCTGGAGAGACAGCTGCCCTGGGGACAAACTACAGGTCCTGCCGAGGAAGCTCGGAGGGCATTTTAAAGAGAAGAAGCCGGGCATGAAGAAATCACACTGAAGCCAAGCCCAGTGCTCCCCACCCCCTCTCATTATGCGGTTGGGGAGGAGTCAGGAAGGCATTCTGTTGATTTCTTGCCCAAGATAATCCCTGCTAAGGAATTAATGCACGGAGCAGATGGTGCTGTCTCATTTCCAATGAAAAGAATCAAGGAAGATAGTCTGTGCAATTATTTTTAATGGCTGGTGGGGTGATCTTCTTAATTTGTGAGAAAATGTTTCATCTTTTGTTAAAACTGGCCCCATTCACAGAGCGTTTTGTGCTGAAGATTAAGGCAGCACCGAAACACCTATGCTGTTAACGTCGGGAAGGCTTTATGAGATGGGGGGGTTTCACACAGGAGACGTCTTTCTGTGGTATCTTGTACGCACAGGCACAGTGATCAGATACGTCCCTCACTGCACGCTGCCCTCCCTGCAACGTGGCTGCAGGATGAACCGTCTAGGTCCTGCTGTTTATTACCCACATAAAGATTTGGCCTCTGTGGTTTAATGAAAGACATATGGGCTCGGGACTCAGGACAACAGAAAGGCTGTATAAGCTGCGGTCTTGGAGTCTGCCAGGAGGAGTGGCCTTTACACGAGTAGCCAGCCAGTCCGCATTTCTCAAACCCTGACATGTGCCCAGCACCACGGAGGAAACAAAACAACTACAGTCAGTGTTTGACACTGTCAGCAGACCTGTCCAGAAATGTCTGTCTAGCCCACGCCATGGACACCACCAACTGCAAAGGCCACGCGGGCAGCTGGCCAGGTCCCTCGCTCGCTGGGGACATGCTTCCATGTTGCTGTTTGCTGTCACCGAGTTGGCCTCCACCTCATGGTGACACCATGCACAACAGAATGAAACGCGGGCCAGCCTGTGCCGTCCCCGTCAGCTGTAGATCAGGCTGTCATGATCCATAGGCTTTTGGTTGGCTGATCTTTGAGAGCGGGTCGCCAGCTTTTCCTTCCTGGTCTATCTTAGTCTGGAAGTTCTCCTTCAGCCTGCTCAGTGGCACAGCAACATACAGACTCCCACGGACAGATGAGAGGTGGCCGTGCTTGAGGTGCCTTGGCTGGGAATGAAACTGGGGTCTCCTGCATGGAAGCCAGGAATTCTCCCAGGCTCCAGTTGTCCCAGATCCACATTTCTGCTGGCTCCTTTGCTTGGAGCTCTCATTCAGTGCTCACGGCAGCCCTGTGAGGTGTGGATTATGATGTCCCTGGCAGGAGGCCAAACCAAGGTCTTCTGCATATAACCTGGTCCACTCCTTCCAGCAGCCTGTGTTCTTTTTAAAGAATAAAGATAAAACCTGTGTCGAGTAGAAAATGGGTAAGTGCTGAATCGTGAGGCACGGAAGGGACGGGTGTCGTAGAGGCACTGCACAGGCACCTTTGCAATGGGGAGAAGGAGCTCTTTGGACAGTACAGATGGCAATGTGGTGTAATGGAAGCAGTTAAGGAAGTGAGGAGAGATGAGGATGTAAGGAGCAGAAACCAGAACCGTTCTTAGGAGCTGTTGAAGAAACACCCTTAGGAGACGAGTTGGTAGGAGAAAGTGCAGAATCTAGGAAGGACTTTGGCCTGACTTGACTGGTGAACGCGGGAGAGGGTTTCCTAATGACTGCTGACTGATCTGTTCCTCCTGCTTCCACAGCACACAGGTAACATTTCCGCTTCTTCTCACAGATCTCATGAGGTTTCCTGACCGTGGGGCTGCTGTTAGCACTGAGAAGCGTTTTCCATGTGAATTCTGTGGACGGGCGTTTTCACAGGGCTCCGAGTGGGAAAGGCATGTGCTGAGGCACGGCATGTAAGTGGGGCTGCCCCCAAAAACGCCTCTGCCCAGAGGGGGCGGGGGGGGGGCGAGCAGGTTCTTTGTCTGTGCCTCCGACAGCACCTATTGCCCTCTGTGCTGTCTTTCTGGGCTGTGGGAGGAGAGGCAACTGGGAGGAACCAGGTCTGTCCTTTTTCTGGTGGTTTCTCACATGGTCACCAGCCACAAGTCAAAAATCACCTTTATGAATGACACGTCCCCCTGGAGCCCACGTGTAGAAGCAGAGCGGTATCTCCAGCCAGCGTCCCTTCAGCTTTCATTAGCGTAACATTCCTCTGATAGAGCGCTGGACTGGGGGTCAGAAGACCTGGCTTTCTGTTCCTGCCTCTGACTGACTTGTTCCCTGGGGAACCTTGAACAATGCCAAGCACCTCTTGGTGCCTTTAATGCCTTGCTTCGGGGCCAGAGCCAGCTTCTGCCTGCCTTCCAGGTAGGTGGAAGCACACCTGTGAAAATCCTTATAAGACCCTTGAGCATAGCAGCAGCTCTGAAAAGGCACAGGAAGAACGTAGGGGTGGTCCTTTCAGGAGAACATCTCGGGCATCTAGGCCTCAGAGAATATAGCTAAGTTTCCCGAGATACGGACACGATCTTGAGGTTTTTGTTGTTTTGTTTCCATGATTTGGTTCTTCAGTGCCTCGGTTCTCTTTTAGTTGTAATAAATATCCTTAATCCCCAAGCTTCAGGGTTCCACTGCTGAGTGGAAGTGGGACAGCTCTTGCTGTTCATACTCACGGCCCAGTGGAGGAGTGCTGTAGAAAGACTTGGTCAATCCAGAAGTAAATCAGGGCAGAATCAAACATATTATAATGGTTGTTTTTGTAGTTTCAGGTCATTACAAGGACATACATGATCGAAGCCTAACATGCATCAGCTTAACATACAGGTGTGAGGGAGTCAGCCCAAGTTTTTTCTGGAAGTGGGTCTCCAGGCCTCTCTTCTGAGGCACTCTGGGTGAACTAGACTCTCCAGCCGGTTGGCTGGCAACTGAGCACATTACCTGTTTATACCACGCAAAGGCTTCATAGTAAGGGAAATGGCTCAGAGTGTAGTGATGTGTCTGCAATCCCTGTTCAGAGGAAACCCCAAGGCCTTTTTAGCATCAGGGAATAAGGACCCGTGAGTCTTTCTTGTTCAGAAGGAAATGCATACTCATCCTGTCTCATCTATAAATGCTCTTTTCCAGGGCTTTGAATGACACCAAGCAGATGAGCAGAGAAGAAATTCACGGAAAAGAAAGCTTGGAGGACGGTGTCAAGATGCCATCCATAGAGGAAAAGGAAGATGACGAGGCCATCGGGATAGACTTTTCTCTCAAGAATGAAACAGTAACCATCTGTGTGGTAGCTGCCGACAAATCTCTCCTGGAGAATGCAGAGGCCAAAAACGAATAAGCGTTTGGTGAAGTCCTTAATCAAACCTTACTTGAACAGTGATGAAAAGGTGGGTGGGCCAGCGTGGACTGAGAAGGGAGGGGCAGAAAAGAGAAGACAGAAACAAAGCTGCTTTTTAGGACTGAACAATCTATTTTCAAAGCACTGGTACCTTTGTGAATGAGTCTGTAAATTAAAGTTATTTAAATGTTTGGAACATGTGGCTCCTTTTCCATCGCAGCATCTTTTCTTCCGGATCTGCATCCTGGAAGTCCCGTTTGTTGCGGAGTACGGAAGCACCTCCCGTGCACAGGGCGTCCTCTGTGGTGGTCTTGGACAGATGTGGAGGGCAGATGCTCCCTGACCGAAGAAGACTTCTCACAGGGGAACAACTTTTGACGCACAGCTTTCGGTGCGTTTTTCTAGTTTTAATACCTTAAGCTTTTTCAAGACCTAACTGCAGCCGCTTTGGGAAAAAACAAAAACAGAAAACAAAAAAAACTGCTTTGCATAAAACAGTCACCTGTTTCCTAGTACCTCAGAATTAACCAAGGGAATTCTCTGCATTGTCAGTACTACCTGTCGTCACCGTCGCTAAATGTAGAGAGAACTGCTGGGCGAGATGGTGAATGGAGGAGGAAAAAAAAAAAGAGTTTTAAAGAAAGGAACACAAATTGTGCTTAAAATCCCCACGTGGGTTTTATTTCTTAAAATACTGTGATTTTTTAAATTATTTTAGTAAAAAACAAAACAAAAAAAAGAAACAGACTTTAATTATTAGCTAACTGTTGTGACTTGTCATCCTTTATTCCAGGTAAGCTGTTTATTAGTGTTCAGCTATAATTTAGAGTTTGGTAGATTCATGTGAGCTAATTTTAAGGTGATTGTGCAGTTTCGTTTGGCACATGTTCTTTTCTATCGGTTTGAGTGTTATAAACACAGCACAATTCAGTTTTTCATATAAATCGGTTTTTTTGTGTGTGCGTGTGTGTGTGTTGTTACTGTTGTTTTAATTTGGGGGCAAGGGAGATTTAGGGGTTTTTTTGTGAATAGGAATGTTTTTATTTTAAACATGCAAATAAAAAAGACGTTAACTTTTTTTTTTTAATTATTATTATTTAACTAAAGAACCAAACTTTCGGCACAGCTATGCAGCTTGTGGGCCAGACGAGGTCCTCGTCACCCTTTTGTTGCTTGTCAAATTATCCCATTATCCGTCTCACACAAATAATTTGTTAGGATGAGCTGGCTTTTGTGTGTGAATTAAAAATGTTCTGTTTTTGTTTGCATTGTGTTTTGGGGTTTTTCCCATTTATTAGGGGGAAAATGGGATGTGCTAGAATCCCATCCCTTTGGTGAGAGTGGATGAGAAATAAGGATATCCTACAAGGAGCCTGGAGAACTACTTTTTTTTTTTTTTTTTTTTTTTAACTAGCTGCCAGCTGCTCTGTTTCCCCCATACTAGTTTGTTCACAAGGGGGGCAGCTTAGACTACATCTAAGTCTATATAATACGTTCTGATTGTGAACAAAGGGTTTCGTTCCAAAAGTAGAAAAGAACTTTTCTTTGAAACCTAGGTTTTAGAAGTAGGTGTGTGTGAGCACTTGGATGTGTATGTATGTATGTGGGTGTGAGTCCTTTGGTTTTCATGTTTTTGTTTTTCTGTTTTGTTTTGTTTTGTTTTGTTTTTTTAACTTGGAAGGGTTAGGGGAGGGGGGAGGGCAGAAAGGGCAAGGGATTGCTGAGATGACAGTGTCCCACACAGCTTCAAAGAAAATCCATGGAAAGACGTTGCATTTGTGGAATAAGTGCTTACTTGAAAAGCATGTTTTTCCTTTATTTTCTTGCGATTAAGAATTTTTATTTGTAGGGTGTTTGTTTTAATTTAATTTTTTTTTTTTAGGGATGGGGCCATCATGTGGAAACCAGAAAGTGGGGAAGGTGTGAACTATCTAGACAAATATTCATTGTGTGTCCTTATTTGTTTTTAATTGGCCTCATTTCAAATGTATTAAACAGTTCCATACCTGGATTGGGTGTTTGTAATAGTTACCAAAAAAGAAAAAAAAAAAAAGAGAGAGAGAGAGAGAGAGGGAAAAAAAAAGAAAAAAACAAAGAAAGAAAAAAGAAAATAATTGTGACATGCTTTTATCACTACTTTATTTTTCAAATAACATGTAAATATTGTAATCCATTGGATTTTGTTTTGCTAACCTGTTAATAAAAATATGGGACCATTATCCTTTTAACAAGGCTAGAATGTCATTTTTTTGTTTTCTTTTTCAAAACATATACCTGATATTTCATGGCCGCACATTTTGGATGCATTATTATAATTTTGTTGACTGTAATGACATAGAATTTACAACATTTTTTTTTTTATTTTTTCCGGGGGCCTTTTTTTTTTTTTTCAGAGCTTGAGAGAAGAAAATAAATAGGAAAATGATAACCTATTGACTCCAATTATATCAGTGTTTCCCGATACTTGATAAAAGATAGGGAGATCCTGAGGCCTTGAAGCCAAGGGTTAAAAAAAAGAAAAAAAGAAAAAAAAAATTAATAAAACACAAGTAGGTTATTCAAGTTGTTTGCAACATACATTTTGTAATGAAATGTGAGAAATTAATAAAGAATTTTTTTCACATGTGTCTATGTGTATCTATTGTAAATCATTTAATAAAAAAGGACTACAGATAGAAAATAGAGAAAAAAATTAGCATGGCTTTTCAATTCATACCCAGTTGCCACTGAGTGGCTTCTGACTGGCAAGAGTTTTGGGGGAGTAGGTTGTCACACCTTTCTTCTGAAGTGTCTCTGGGTGAAACCCCCAGCCTCTTGGTGAGCAGTGGAGCATGTTAATGGTTTGTGCCACTCAAGGACTCCTTCAGTGCATATACACAAGATATTTCAAAGCATTGATTATACACTAGTAAGGAAAGTGAACATAAAACTCAGGTAAGGTGTGAGCTGAGATTAAAAAATGTTAGTATTTCTGCATCAGATAAATAACACCAACTGATGGAATTTTATAGAAGGAATATTTTCCATCAGAAATGTGACTTGGAGTGCTGTGGGAAGCTCCAGGAGAAATGCCAGTGAATAAACTTCATCTGGGGGCCATAAATCCACAAACACAGTAATTTTCAGCTAACTGTATACAAAGTCTCAAACCACTGGAGAAGATCTACTTTATAATGTTGCTAGACTTGTCTCATGAAACCCTAAATACAAACTATCTTACTGTACATCTATGCAAGTAATTATCATCATAAACTTATTCTTTGAGCTACCTTGTTATAAATCAAAGGAAAAATTAATCATCATAAAACTCAGAAGAGTCAACTGAACGGCTTGGATTGTTACATACAGAGTGGATTTATACTGTGTCTGTCTGCATCAGTGTTAGGAGAACAGTGTTCAAAGCTCACTGTGAAAGCTTGTTCCTCACTCTTGTTCCCTTCATTGAAGAAAAGTTTTTAAGAGAATTAACACTAGTATATACACAACATAATTAGATAAAAGCGTAAAATTAAATTGAGAGCCAAAGGGAAAATGAGGATTGAGCAACAAATAGATGACTGAAGAGTCCACAAATATGTGTGCTGCAAAACCATGCACAAGCCACACATTTGGCTCTGAGCTTCCTGGTAGGCAAGGCAAAGAAGGGTCAGTAAGAATCATAATCTTAAAATTTCATATTATCAGGTATTTCAGAGACTTTCTGGGAATGTAGGCTGAGAAATCTCTGTTCAAAGGGAGTAAAAATGACATAATAGACTTGATTATTGCAAATCTGCTGATTTTTCACAACCTCCATTAAATATTTAATGAACAATGTTTTCTGTGAGTTCATTCCTAATCCATACTCCTACATTGTTATGTAGAGGAGATGGAATTTAGTGATGTATTAGTCACAGTGATTAGGTGCTGTTGAATTGATTCATCATGGTAGGGAGTCCAATAAGGCAAACCCTGAAATTGTAGCCCAATGATGGTTTGTTTATTTCTTACACAAATCTCCGATGACAGTAGGGCCGCTCTCTTTCATTGGTGCTCAGGAGTCCAGGCTCCTATTTGGGGATGCAGCCATTCCAACACATGAATCATAGGGGCATTGCTGAGTGCTTGGAGGTGGTCTACCCCAGGAACAGATTACCCAATAAACAGAGTAAGCATGTGCTTAGGGCATCAACAAAATGGGCACCAGTTGTCCAAAGCACCCACAGATGCCAAACAGGACACAAGGAAAACCAAGCACTGCTTGCTGACGGGAACTGACAGGGCACTAAATGTACACGATGACATTTTCCTTTTCATTTTGGACTGATAGATGTAACCTCATACTCAATTCTCTCTCATCGACCACATAAGAACGTGCCAGTGGCATTATAATCATGTGACTCATGACAGCTGGTCCTGTGCAAAGCAAACCAAAACACATCTTCAGATGGAGCATACCCTTGTATTTGTATCATGGTCTTTGCAATTGCTCTCACCCCTATTGGTGTCCACAGTCATCCAATGAACTGTGAAGACACAGCATCAGAACGGAAAATGAGTGTGCAAGTTTTTAAGTATTACGTAAAGATGGAAAACTCGGAGAGTCGGCAAAGGACTTGATGCAAACAAACATAACAAATGAAATTATCTCTGATTAGCTTCTTGTTACTGTGTGCTATCAAGTCGGCCCTGACTCATAGCAACCCCTCCTCGGGTTTCCGAGGCAGTATCACTACAGAAGTAGATTGCCCAACCTTCCTTCCTAGGAGTGGCTGGTGGGTTTGAGCCTTCTGGTTAGCGGTCAAGTGCCTTAGGTACTATGCTACCAGAGCTTGTAGGTACTTTTTTGTTTGTTTTTTTTTAACTATCTCAGACCTGCAGAACAAAATTACATGTTCCAAATCAACTTTTTTTACACAGTAATTTTCAAATACAAATTTTTGTGTTAATGTCCAAATTTACACGCAAATATTTCATAAATTTTATTTCTTTTCAGTTATTTATTTGGTACAGTAGAATCAAATTTAAAGTGTGACATAATTTTATATCCAGGTAGAATGATATGGCAACAACTAAGTGGAGCATAAAAATGAAAGCTCACAGAAGATGAAAAAGATTCCTAAAGACAATTCCAGAATTAACTTCCTTTTTAAAACATAATGAATCAGAAGAGATTTCTGTTGAATGTGTGAGTTTAATGGCTGCAGATCATTGTACTAAGTATCACCAGTGCTGAAATTACCAAAAGTGAAACGAATATAACAGAATTGGTTTCGTTTTCTGCATCAATTCCTTGCTACTGTATAAATAAATGAATAAATAATGGTGTGGAAGGTGAAACTACTTTAGAATCTGAAATTGTCACATCTGCAGACTCCATAAATAACGAATACAGATCCTGCTTTGTGGAATAAATTTTCTTCAAAAGATGTAAATTACTGGATTGGAAGAAGGCCAAGTGCTTGTTAACATCACAGTG